TATAAATCTTCTTCATCATTGCCCTGTAAGAATAAATACATAAATACATATTTTCCTTGGACATAATATTATATTAATGGACGCTATGTAAATAAAATAAATATGAAATCATTGGCCAATTATAAAACAGTGAAATTAAACGCATCACGGAAAGTACGATGGTAATACCTAACTAAATTACCCATACCTAAAGCCGTGTATACAAATAAAAACATCAAAATTAAAACAAAACAGTGTTCAAGTTTTAAAAACAGTTTAGATACCTACTACCTAGTCCGTTACTGTGACGGTAAAGTTGAGTTCTTGTTTTTTGTTTTTGTTTACTATTTTACTGTATATGTAGGACCCGGCAAAATATACTAACACTCTAGCAATAACAAAATTAGAACTGTAAAATACTTTTAATCTAATGGAATTTAAATAGTTTCACTCAAATCGAAACGATTACGTCGTATTAAATGTACATTTCATTGAACATCGTTGTAGCAATAACAGTTCTGCACATCTATTGGAAATATCAATTATAAAGAAAATTAATATTTTCACCTACATTATGTGAAACGAACAAATAAAATAATATAAAACACTCGTGCAACTCAACTAGTGCACTTAAATATGAACTCTGAAGGGATGAAAAAACTGTGTTTTTATAGTTTTGGAACTATGTGTGTTTGTTTATTATTATTTGTTATGCCCGTGCCCGTAGAAAAAGTGCTGCAAAAGTTTCATGTAACCCGTGGTCTAATGATTGGAAATCGGATACAGATGACGTACTACATTCGACGTACACGAGCACTTTTTGGCATTCCCAGCAGATTTCAATATCTATAGAGTATTATGCAAATCTATTGAAAATGTGTAAAAAAAAAATCTACAACATGAGTTCTTTATAAATTATATTTATATTACACACAAAAAACATGTTTCAAACAAAATCTATTTTGGTGTTCTGTTATAACTCAAACTTACAGAGGACTACATTTACAATATATTTTTATATTACCTATATGTATGTTGCCTAGCTTTGTTTTGTGGAATTGTGTTTCGATTTTTTCAGATATTTTACTACAACAATCTTGCCCTAGAAAGAATTACATTTTTCGAGCTTTAGTTTTTTAGAAACCTGAAAACGATCATTTTGGTGAACTATTTAATTCTAATTTCTAATCATATTCCATAAACAATAATAATTCCAAACTTAATACTATAACATGTTATAGGTAATATCATATAGCCATATAGAAAATATTATTTTTAATGAATTTCGAATGTCAAAGAATTTATTTCAGTACCTAACAATTATATGTTCTTTTAATTCATTTTATCTGTTGAATATTGAACAAAAAACATATAAAACAACATTTTATCATAATTCACATAATTAATATTCAAAATCTTTAATCAAATTATTTTTCTAGGCATACATATTATCATGCAGTTTGAACAATTACTAGGTATATGGGCTATTGTTAAATAATCGACTATGATATAGCCTTTCTAAGAATGCAACGACTTATAATTTTAAACTTTAATCGATTGTATCAAGCCTTGGTGATTGAATTGAGGTGAATGGTCAACAAAATATCGTCTTTGACCTTCGTATCATTTTAAAAGTTCGATCATTAACTATTGACCAAAATAAAATTACCCAGAAATATTAATGATCTTGAAATAATGTATTTTTGTCGAAAATTATTATATTTTAGTTATGTAAGTGATTAGAATGAATAATAATAATATTCAATTGGCAAAAAAATGTCGTAATATTGAAAAATGAAGTACATTCATATAATAATGGTTACTGGGTAGTCAAAATGAGTTCTATATGTGTTTTGTAATAGCTAAATAATTACACACGTTAAATGATTCGCTGCAAGGAAAAAAATGTTTACAAAGTTTTTAATGCGTCGGAAATTTTTTATTTTTTTTCGACATTTTTTTTTTTTGATTTCCGAGAGTGATAATATCCGGCTTACAAGTCTGAGTCGAAGAAAAAATATAACGAAAAATAAATAACAATAATGATGGATCGGTCTTTTTTTTTTTGTGCTTTACAAATTGTGTAAAATTATGTATCTTAAACGGATTAAACGCTCGTTAACTTGAAGCGTTTAATTTTATGTAACTAAAATATAGTATCTACATAAAATACATTTATACACACATTTATAAATTGTAATATACCTAGGTACAATGCTTAATCGACTCCGTGGATATTATGAAAGCGTTAAAGTGTTTAAAATTCGCAGACAGAATTTAAATGCGTCTTTCAAAAAACGTTTAGACATATCTATAATATAATGTGCTTATATAGTAGGGAATATTTTATGATGATATATGTTTCACATAAATTAAATTATTATGACGACAAATCACAAAATGAACAATGAAATGTATTAAATATTATAAGTAAACTGGTAGTTGCATCTTAATATAAAAAATATTTTCATATATACGAGTATAAAGATAAATAGTATAAATTCCCTAATATACGACAGTGTAAAAATGTAAAAAAAATAGTAAGCCAAAAAAATGAAAAACGAAAATAAATAAATAATCTATAAAAACATCAAACAAAATATATATACATATATTATGTACATGAATTATGTTTCAAATATTTTTATAAATCAAGTATAAGTATAGGCATCCCACTATATAATGCCGAAACATACAACTACTGAGTGAACAGCAGTTGCATGTATTGTGTTTAAATTTAAAAGATATATTTTTATAAAGCATTGCATTTGAAATGTTTTGGGTTTAGGGCGAATCTAGGCTTTATGTGAAGTAAAATATGTATTTTCGATTTATGCAGCACATTTTTTTAAGTGTATCTGTTATTACTGATAAAATATGAAAAATGGATAAAGTATGCATCGTCCTGGTTTGAGTGGTGAGGTGAACACTACCTATAACACTATACCTATTGGATAAATTAAAATGCTCTAATTATAAAATACTCAGGTAATTTGTAAATTTTTTAAGGCTGAGTGAGTGAACTGTAAAGTACACACTTTGATAAAGTTGTAATTAATAGTTTAACGATAATCTTATAAATAACTTTTATATTAACAATTATCAATAATCTAATTAATGAATTTTTTTTAAAGTATGATTGGATTTTTTTCTACTAAAACCACTGTATAATTAGACCATTTTAAATGTGAAACCATTTTACGGTTACACTACCTGCCTATTATAGCAGTCTTGTAAAATATTCAAATATACCTAATATTAAAAATTCAAATACTTTTTTTAATTACTTTTTGTTTTGTCAAATATAGATAGGTATTTTGTATTAAAATTCTTGTCTTAAACATAACTTATTATTATTTTTATTCTTTTAATAGCAAATTGTATAGCTCCTAGGACAATGATCAAAAATATACGAGTACATCTATGGTGTATTATATTTATTCTATATTTAGACAAAATGAGGTAAAAAAAAATAATTTCGTATATAACTAATATTTATAGCATATATAGAACTAATGATTAACACTTATTATAACACAGAATTAACACTGTCGATAAAGCTGGGCTCTGCTCACTGTTCAAGGCTCGTTTAAGTTTGGCATTAAAATAATTTGTGTAATAATGAGTGAAAATAATAAATTACAAAATGCCGGCAATGTGAATGTGGCAAAATAGGTAGCATAAATGCTAAAAAGGTATATACTCAATCGCATTATGCTCAATCGTTCTTTACCGGTTTTTACTTAATGAAGTTGAAGCCGGTGCGTTTTTAGTAAAAAATAAGTCTTACAGGAAAAACTCTCACTTATTGTAGAACACTCAGATTTTCTAATTTTTTTTTATTCAAAATAAAAGAACATTTGGAGGTCAGATGAAAGTCCGATTTATAAAATTATAATTATAATAATAATTAGAGAAGATAACACAGTATGCATTTGAATAATGCACATTATTGTTATTTTTCAAACGTACTTTTCTAGCCCTATTTGAAGTAACATGAAAATTTGGGCATTGATCTGACCTGAAAAAAGTTATCTTTCAGATAAAAAATGTTTATCAAGATCCAACATATCAATGAGGCCTGAAAGTTTTTCCTGTAAAGTCATTTTTGTTAATATAATTCACTGTGTAAACTCCTCCTAAATAGGTATTAGGGCAGTAGATTAGTGGAAAGGTATTATAATTAAGGTATAGTAAGGTCAACGAGAACATAAAATTAAATTTTCTGATTTGATAGAATTTAAAAAAATTGAAAAAAACGGCACCAACACCCTAAACTGATAATCTAAAAATCCAATTAATTCAATATTTGTGTTATACGGTTTATATTTCTCTACCAATTCATACAAGTTTCCACATTATTAGTTAGGGTACAAAATACATTCTCGTAATATTATGATATTGACAATAATGTGAATGAAATATAATGGATATATTTTATCAGTAAAAATTGAAAATGTACCTATCCAATTATTGTAATAGACATTATTATCATATTTTTAATAATATTATCATATTTTTAGATTAGAACAATTTGCTTTTCATATCGTATCATTTAGTAAAAGTATGAATAAAAATGTATATTATAATATCTAATTATTGCTATAAAAATATTTTATCTTTAATTTTTAATACGGGGCACTGTTATGAATTTACTTAATGCAATATACAATAGAATTATTTATAATTATGTATTTTGATGTTATGCAATATTGATTTTTCTAACGATTTCAAACACTTTCAAGTGCATAATAAAATGTATTTATAAAATCAGTAGGTACTTATCAGTTATCATACGTATACATTTTATATATATTTGACTAACATATAATCATAATTGAGTACATTAATTAGCAAACTTAAAAAAATCTAAATTCATAAGAACTTTAATTATTAATCTTATATATTATTTAAAAATTAAAAATACATGATATTATTTCAGTTAAATATTTAATTTGAAATGTAAAAATTACCATCAATAACTGTTTATGTAATCAAATAATTAAAAAAAATACTGAAAATCCACTATAATATTTGATTGCTGCTAGTTGCAATATTATTTAGATTGTTAACTCGTAACAATTATGAGAGACTAGTAATAATAATAATAATAATAATCATAATAACAACAACAGTAACAACAATAATCGTCTAGTTGCTGAGGTCTAATATTTGGACGACCGCGCGTATAAATAACAGCCGGCCATATCAATAAGGTACCAGTTGTGTCAGTCCATCATCAGAGTCATCAACAAACATGAAGTCTGCTTTGGTTATTGTATCCGTTCTTTTAGCCGGCGTGGCCCTCGAAGTTGCCGCCCGCATGGTCACCGACAACCAAAACCAACATGAAAACAGTGAGTACACACACCATTCGAAATCAAATTACGTAAATTTAATTCACAGTCGTTATTTTTAGACAACCAGTGGACCCGTTTTCGTGGGGACTCCAGTGATGAATCAACTGAGTCGAACTTACACGAATATCGAAACAACAACAACTTCAACAACGTCCGAAGCAACTATGACTCGGTATCTACATTTGCTGACCGTTCAAGACAGATCAACCAAAACGACGATACCGACTTCGGTTCCAACCAAGAGTTACGTCTACAACAACAACAACCCAAAAGCCAAAACCAATTCAATGCCGTCAACCACCCCGAAGGACTCACCAAGATAATGGTCGAGAAAATCGCTACCATTCAGAAAATCGCCGTCGATCACAATATCGCCGACACCGCCGATTTCTTGGACGCAGCGCTCACCGTCAATTCTAACTCCATCAAATTCCCAAAACACAATTTCGTGTCTTTCTACAACTCAACCATGAAGAACCTTGAAAATGGTAACTTGGAATACCTGTACCTGAACCCCGAAAGTGACACCCTGTTCGCCCAGTACCAGTTCGACGAGGTCAAAACCGTCGGATCATTCAAGTCCAACATCGCCCACACTCATTCTGGTTACTACACAGTCATCTTGAACAACGTGTTCAGCAACTTGTCCACTGGATTCTATGACGACAAACATGCCATGATCAAGGCGGCCAAATTCCAAAACGCAGACGTCAACATAATCACCCACGACGGTTCCGAAACGCAAGTTCTCAACCCAGCTATGGAACAAAAATATTTGGGTGTGTTGGCCAACACCGTGTCCAACGAAGTGATGAAGTCCGCCAACAAGGGTGCGATCGTCCAGATGAAAAACGAAATCCGCAAACCAATCATATCCCAAATGAACGCTGCTAGAAATAACGCCAACAAGCTGTTCGACTTAAAATGGCAGGAGGACCAAGTCTCCATGGAGATGACTAACATCGGTTTCATGAACTCAGAAGAACTCGAGCACGCCACCGAACATTTATTGAACTCTGTGACTTTCCAACGGAAATCCCAAGACACCTACGGAATGCGTTATGACTTCTCCATCAAAAACATGGAATGGACATCCGCTGTGAACATCATGTCGGGTGATATGAGAACGACCACAGGGCCAATGAAGTTCACTATCGACCAAATCAACATGAAAGTATACGTCGAAAAGTCAACCCAACAACAACAGTCGTATGGCAAGGCCAACACCAACGTGGAAATACGTGGTCTCCATTACAACTTGAAGAACGTCAAGTCCAACCTTGTTTCCTACTTCGAAAACGACCTCCAACGTTTCATGGAACTTTCTTTGGGATCTTACATCCAAGATACTTTGGTACAAGAATTAAACAACTCTAGTCGCCAATACTAAGTTGACTCATTTATTTTAAAACATTAGTTTTTCTTAATATATTATATAAAATAAGCAATAGTATAAACATTAAACATATTATATTTTTTAGTTTTTAATTTTACAATAGTTTTATAAATTATAATATTTGATTTGATTGCCTACAAAATACATTTAATATCTAATACATGAAATTATTTATGTGTGCATATTTTAAAAAATAACATAAATATGAATTGCATGTTTAATCGGCAAAAACGGTTATTTCGATTTGAAATTTGTCGTTTTTAGTTTACACTGTGAACTCGGTACCCACATATAATTAGGTACAAAAATAACATAATATTACTAGCTACAGTATTACATGGCATTCGCCGGGGATAAATGAAACCGAGATGAACAATACAACTGCGAGAGATAGTAATAATTTATTACTAATAACTTTTAAGTAACATTTTATTCTTATGTGAATCAATTGCAAAACCGAAATAAATTAATATATTGTGGTTTTGATTTTAATCAAATATGTGGTATCATCAGTAACTAAAATAACTGGTTTATTATCAAAACCTTTATTGAATAGTCGAAATCAGTAGAGTATTATTTGACTCCATAAGCCTTAGCCTGTGTATTGTCTTTAACATACTATGATTGCTGTTACCCATATAATACTCTAACAATCCGATCGGGATCACAAATAATGTGTGCAAAATGTGATGCTAATTATTTAAAAAACTGTGGATTTTCATACTCGTCATTTAAAATTTAAAAAATATATTAAATTTAATAAAACCCGACTAATAACTCATATCTGTTTTAGTCGGCAATCCATTGCAATCAATCTATCTACCGTTTCAGTTTTGTTTGAGTTGAAAATGATGAGTTGTTTTTTTCAGAATATCATAAATGTGATGCATACGTGTATGCATAAATACATTTATAATATTATACACTATTAAAGTGCATGGCATAGTACACTGAAATCTGTACATAAATGAAAAACTTAAATTTTTCTGGCTCCAACATGTTGATGCCAAGACTGCATTTAATAGTCCACAAATAGCTCGATTTTCGCACGATAAGAATAATATAATACAAATATTACAGTTAATAACTTACATATAATAATTAAAAAAATCGTTCGAAATAATTACTGTATGAGAACTAGCATTGTAGATACTATAGGACAGGGATCACTAATTGATATTTTTGGAGGTCCTAAGTAATAACTTCTGGATGATTTCGGGACCCATCCAAATTGAATGTAGTACCTTATAATCTAAGAAATTAATGCTCTGTCTGCGGGTCAGATATTTATGTTCGACCACGGACCGCTATTTGACGATCTCTTTGGGTAGAGTATATAACGCTGCCGCGTATTCTCGTACCTGCAATATAATAGGGTTAATGAAAAATTTAAATTTGTCTGTAATATAGAGTATAGACTATAAACCACAACTTATAGGACCATTAAATAAAACATATTTTATTCGGTATTGTATATTGTTTAAATAAACAAATTAATTTAAAAAAATTAATCGATTGTAATAAAACATATAATAAATATATATACGAATAATAATTGTAAATAAAAATATAAGCGGATAACCGAGGAGGTCAATAAAAAACAGAAACTCTGTCTCGTCTACGTATCATTATAAATTATAATATAATATTATTGTTAGAATATAATATAGTGACTATTATTGTACGTGTATTTTTTTGCGTCCGCTAATTAATATTTTTCGGTACATGTGGCATTCCGGCTACCACTCGGTTTTCGATGTTACACTCGTTGTTTCCCCTGAGTATTCTGAACAGTCCGTTCTCGCCCCATGATCGGCTCCACGAATTGGCGCACAACCAATACTTGGTATTATCGTCAACGCCCCAGCCCAATATCTTGATCGCGTGACCGCCTTCTATCTGACCTCTTGTGTAACTGTACACTCCTTTGATACGCAAAACAAAAATCCAACAACACACATGAATCAAAGCAAAACTAATATAATTGCAATGCTATAATGGTAAATACAGTTCATTTTATAAAATATCTGGTCTTTATATTTGTGAATTATATTGTTACCTACTTAGATAGTAAAAAGAGATGCAACGATAAGAGTAAACAATATTTAAATTATAAAATATGTGAGGTGGTAATTTAATAAAAATTTAAGTTAATATTATGTTGTTGCGAGCGAAGTGAGTTTATTATTTTTTTAAGTTACCATTTTTGGCTGTTCAAAACTTTTGCCGCCTTTTATTGAACACTGAAATTACGCCACTGATATTATGTAGACCTATTTTGTATAAAAGTTTATTATATCGAATTAATTTGTTTTGTTGGTAACGTATTAAATTTAAAATAATAACTAATAAATGGTAATATTACAGTTTATAGACTACCTATTTAAAATTTAAAAAAATCCATAGCACGCTACTCGATATTTTTCCTTCATAAGGAAAATCTATGAGTCATACATATGTTTTTGTTAACAAATAAGTAACCTTAACAACAAAAACCTTACGAAAATTCGGTCAAAAACTTATTTTTTTCGCATATCCAGCTCAAAAACACATTTATGTTAAAAAAAAATAAAATATATAACATTAATCAACACTATAAAATATCTGCTGTTTTCAATCAAAAATATTCGATTCTATGACAATTTATACATCGATTATGTAGTGTATTGAGTATGTTATATCTTTACGCTTGAATTGGTATACACTGCGAAAATAAGTATTTTAAGAGTAATGACTTATGATTAGGCTTGAAAACTTACCGCTTTTGTAGTACATGAAATCTGTGTACACATAGAAAGCCGCTTGGACGGGACCGTTTTTGTATATATCAGTCATGATGTCTTCTTCAGATCTCGACAGCGAGTATACGGTATCAACTAAAAACGCATTTTATAAATCAATTAACGTACAACAATACTATGTAGGTTTTCATTTTTTATAGTATTATGAAAAGGTACAATACAGTCGATGGACGATAAATTATTCATGTCAGGAAAAACGACACCAAATAACATAATGTATCTAATGAACTGCAGTACCTACCATAATGCAAATCAGCTCTGTAGCCTTTCGTGTAGTTTGAGTTGGTGCAAGTTCTTATCGAACAATCGGGCGTGTCGATATCATCGTCTATGCAAGTATTCCTTCCTTTGCCACACGGATAAATGCTGTATGGTTGACAACCCTTCGGGTGCAAAAAAAAACCAAAATAATGTTTTATAAGCATACCAGAGTAGTATAATAGTAGTATAATAAACGAAATGTATTTGAAATCAATTGCAATCAACGGTGATTATTTGAAATAAATTATAATTATTTGCAAAATCGAAATCAATAATTAAGACACTAGTAGGTGCTTTTACGATCAATAGCGATTATTTATGATCACTCGGATTGAGGAAAGGGTTAATTGAACCGGAATACCACATGATCCTCTCCGATGATCTACATCCATGTCATAAAATAACATTTATGCATGTTATAGTGCTAGAATTAGAAAAATATAAAAAGGGAGATGCAAAAGCTTAAAAAAATTAATGTGGCGTACCAAAATATTTAAATGTCCTTTTGATTAGGATGTTATTAGGAGGGGTAGGTTAAAATATTTTTTTTAAAAGAAGAGCGACTCCGTCCACAATCTCAATTTAGCATTGCAGTGTGTGTATAGGTTTTATTATAATTATTTATCGTCTTACGTCTCCAGATTCGTAATCTCCACCCGTGACGATACCGTGTCTCATGAAGAAATACCACGCTGCCTCCGGTGACCCACCGTCACATCCGTTACCACATCGATAGCAACAAGTGTTCAACTGTTCGGCGGACAGGTTTCTCGCCACAGCACCACCTGTGGCTATGCAAAGGCGGTCGCTGAACACTGAAGCCGCAGACACGGCCTGAAAATATATTATTGCCGACAATAATTAATAATCATTTTTATTTTACGGATGGAACAAACAGTTTTGTGATTTAGTGTTTATTGCTATTCAAAACTCAAAATGCTAACTGCATAGATTTAATTTCACATTGTACCTATATAATGCACGTTTTAGATGGGCAACATAATTGTCGAGTGGGTATCACTGTAGTCGATGTGTTAAATTCTCATTCAATGATATAAAATCATTGTATACGAAAAATTACGTTCAGCGAAGACAGACTATCAGCTTATATTCTTAAATATATCTGACAATGTTATTGATATCACCTAAATTAATTTATTTTACTTTTAAGTTTTAGGTAGTAATACAGTAGGTTAAATTAATTTTTGCTGAAAACATTGCATTTAAAAATGTCATTGAGTGTATGAAATATAATAATGTAATTTAAAAAAAGTACTCTTTTTTATCAAAAAAAAAAATCTAAAATGAGAGTTGCTAAATTTTCATATTCATAATAATTATTGACTATAATAACTTACATGTTTAAATTTATTTCACTGCAGGCCATCATATTATAAATAGGTACTATAATTATTATTATAGCACTTGAAATAATTAAAATAATAACTAATCGTATTGTTGAAATTATGATTCGAAGTATGGGATTCGAGGTTAGTGATTAAATGGCTTGCAAATTAGAGTACTCAAAACAATATTTTAATACTATGTACCCACTCAACACGTCGTACCTATAATACTATAATAATATAAGATAGTATCTAGTTGTAGTAGTCTTATCTGTGTTCGATGGTATTAGTATAAATTAGGCACCACTAGGTACATATGTCTCAAAGAAATCGAAAACTCGACAGTAAACTTATATTAATTATTTAAAGTATTATATGATACAATATAAAAGTACTTATTTTTAATCGTAAGCTATTTTTTTTTATTGTTTGAAGAAATCAACAACTTAAGTTTAATCACTCTTGAAATCACAATAAATTATTTAGTTTATTTTTAGAAGTTCTAAAAAACGAAGGTGAGTATATTATTATACATTGGATGTATACATATTTAGTATCCAAAAAAGTAAAATATGAACCCATAAAAAAAATGTGCCTTTGTAAAATCAATAGGTCCATAAAAAAGACGGAAAAATACGGATTTTGGCCTAAGGTTTGTACTAGTATGCCTACTACCTAGTGTTTATACTGTAAATTACAATAGTTTCTATTCACCCAACACGATCCACAGTTAGACTGGTCCTTGATCGAATCCAACAAGGACAAGCACTCGGGCCATCGTTCTCTGGCGTCAAAATGCTCGGGGAGGGCTTCGTTGGATTCGCTTTCGACGCTTTTCTTTATCGGAGCGAACCTGAAAGAGTTTCCGTTTCTGGGCAATACGCCCATCAACTGTTTGAAGTGTTTTCCGTCTCCTGGGATAACGTTGGTGTCGCTGGCCTGTAACACGACCGGAAAAAATCAGTCCAAACGAGAGTGAACACCATTATTTTTTTAAAGTATTTTTGTTGCCATCAAGGCTGACATCGGTAAATTGGAAATAAATAATACAATAATAGCCATAGTTTATTTCAATACTTGAGTTTAAATCCTGTACATTCAAAGGAGACTATTTGTGCACAATATTTCTACCTATGTCCACACGATATTATAATATTCAGAGTTTGTAGTTTGCAAATCATTAATCCTCCACCTAAAAATGGGGGGAACAGGGTTGCACATCACCTGTTTTAACAATTTAATTTAGAAGTTAGTATTAGTTTTAGAACAATGACTTGAGTTTATACTTTATAGTATACACCAATAACATAATTTAAGAATATTATCTCGAAATCGAAATGATCGCTACATAAGATATAATATATCGTATTTATTGATATATTTTAAGTACCACGAGCATTGTGACTACTGCAAGTTGATAGTATGAGATACATTCTGTTATCAAAACTTATAATGACTTGTATTAAACGAGTTGGTATAACAGAGATCATATATTAAAAAAAAAAATTAATAATTATCTATAATTACAACCAGGTAATATATGTATTGTGAAAATAAGGGATTAAAATTTTTTTGGAAATTTTACATTGTAATATAAAAAAAAAAAAAAAAATGATAATAAAAATAAAAAAAAAAAAAAAAAAAAAATAAAAATATTATAATGCTTGGCATATTTTACAAAATAATGAAATTCCCTGGTAGTTTATCGAATAGTATACGTCACATAGTCACAACTCAAGTTATAATCAACAACTGTCAACCGGTCAAGTATAAAAATATTAAAACTTAAGTTTTTTTAAAAATACAACACATTTTTTAAAATAGCTAGGGGTTGCAAATGCGTTGAAAAATAATGACGACGATGGAGCCAAGTTGGGATGCAAACTCACGTACGTACGTTAGAGCACGGCCTACTGTAAATTGACTTACGAGAAGCTAAAGAGTCCGGTCCAGGATTAATATAAAGTATTATCTTTTACGGCCATTTATTATCAGCTAATATAAGCGTGTAAACTACTGTTTTGTAATTATTGTTAATAGTGCAAAAAATAAAAACCATTCTGTTTATATTAGCTAAACGTTATCCAAACTCAAATATGTTGTTGTAAAACGCAACTAGATTAATGAAACTATAACTATAATAATATAAAAACACGTAAATATACCTAGTATTATTTTATGCAATTATTTGTATTACATCATATCCTTTTATTAAAATGTTGATTTGTCATTTTGTAAGTTTCCTTGGACTTCTAACGAGAAGTATAAATAACGCATTTAACACTTCTCAGATTCTCGTGTTTTATACCTGAGTGTGTCACATGATAATATACAATAATTATGGCGATTTCATGCATTTTTATTGTAATTTGCAGTTGACACATATAATATATTATAATATAACATATTTTGTGTACACCATTATTACTCTGATAATAAATTACCGTTATGATGGAATTAATTATTTAAACTCGATGGCTGTGGTATTGCAATACATACCCTCCACGTGTTGCCTGGGTCCCCGTTCACTGAGTCGATAATGAAAGTCTCTTCGTTCGTCACCGCCGAAGATTCAAGGACGACGACAGTCACTACTGCCGCCAGGACAACCAAAATACTTCCGGACATTTTTCTCCGAATTCGACTTGAGGTACGTTTGTACGTGATCCTACGACTGCATACCGTATTTGAAAGCGTCTACTCGTGGATCGACGGTGAACGGTATTCGATGGTTTTTTTTACATTTCAATTGCCTCTTACTCCAATCGAATGATATTATGCTATCAATCGTTATCGTGGACACTTGTAAGAGCCCTCGCTGAAGAGATAGGACATAAACGACAATATTTGGCACGTTTAACAACTAGTCAGAAGATAATATACCACGTAGGTATTAAATTGAAAATAAGAAAGCGATAGTTGGAAAATGACATACTCATGCATGTTAGTGAAATTAATTATAAGTTGCGCTGATTAAGTGGACGACATTTGTAGACGAAGTCGATGTCCTATAAATTGTTAAACCAAGTTTTAATTATTATTTGTATGGGTTTTAACAGATAAATGTTAAGAAGCTGATAGTTTTTTAAAATGTTGATGCATCCAACTCATCCAAGTTGAGATTTGAACGAGTATTTTTTGAGTTAATAATATTTATGAACTAAGGATAACAATTGTGTCCATGATTATTGGTTTAGACGATATAGGACTATATTCTATAATGATTTTCCAGGTTTTAGTTGACTAAAATTATTTAATTTATATAAATTGTTGGAGTATAATAAGAATTAACTTATAATTTTTGTAAAACCATTACTAAGAACCATTATTGTTATTACATAAAGCTCAATAAACTCATAAATTACCTTCTGAAAATAATGTGGTCTTTGAATATACACTTTATCTAAAATTTAATTAGGTACTTAAAATTATGGCATTTCATTATTTTTGAAAATTCCAAATACAAGAATTTTAAACAAGGAAAAAATAATGGATTAAAGGATGGTGACATTCTTGGAGATTCATCTTTTATATATATATATATTTATATAATATAATATAATATATTTATTAGCGTATCAATATTTATTAATTAATATATAGGCATTATAAGTAGTGATGATCAAAACAAGACCAGGACCAAGACTTTCAAATCTTGGACTTGGTCTTGGTCTTGGGTATACGCCTTAATCTTGGTCTTGGTCTTGCAGCAAGTGTCTTGCGAGACCGCAAGACCAAGACCAATTTTGATCATCACTAATTATAAGCGTGCTGAAGTGATAGTGTGGTGACTTAAAGAATATAACAATTTATACTGAATACCTATATTCTTTTTAATATATTATATACATCGACTGTAGTGTATAGTTAATGTAGTCTATTATGTAACAACATTTTAGGTGGTATTTAGTTAGTACCTTCAAGATTAATTTTTTAACTCATTGAATTTAATATTATTTCGTTATTAAACTATTTGAAAATAAATTAATAATTATACATATTTAAATGATATAAATAAATGATTATTTTCAAAAACTATTTACATATTTTCAGTATTATTCTTATCTTTATACTAATATAAAAGTGCCTAAAAATAAAAGGAAAAACAAGGAAGCTCTCTGGTAGAATAAAGAAGATTTCTAGAGTACCTACCTAGTAATTTAGCAGAACACTGTATTATAATATGTGTTAAATTTTAATTATTGATAAACTGGTTGACTGACTATATTTTTAATATAATTATTAAAAAGTTATATTTATTTTTACTAGAAGTATGGTGGGTCAAATATAATATAATGGTTTCTAATAATTTGTACTATAAATTATTAACATAATAATATTTATTAATGTTAAAACTTATATTATTATTACTCATAAGTTAGTATACAGACGTAATGTATAATGATGTGGTTATGTATATGAGTTTATTGCAAAAATATCTTAAAACTACCTAGTCAGTAATACGAATTTCGTAAAACTTCAAACGTTTAAATTAAATCAAATATTTTGAAAACAATTCAATGAAAAATACCAACATTTATTTATTCAAAAACTGGTTTTGGTAAAAATTAATGTTTTTTTTTCAACTTTATTTTAGTTTTACTCAATAATCTCAAAAAATATTGAGTCTTTTTAAAAATACTTTATGTATCAACTAAATCTTTTTTACTAGAAATAGAAACCAACCTTTTCTATTTTTAACTTATTCTATTCTATAGCTTTGATACAATGATAGTCATGATAATTTAATTTAAATCAAATGTGTTAAATTTGAATTTATTTTTTTTAAATTTGCTATTCTCACTCAGATTGGATACCTTACTTATCACTTTTTATACTGAGAATATAATTCGTCGTAATTAAAAACAGTTGTGTCAATAACGTATATAAACAATAAAGTATAAGTCCGTATTGCGCAGTAATTATATTATTTCAAATTGGCCATGGTTATAACAGTTTACGAGTACTATTTCGATATCAATGGAACCGACAGCAATATTAACACTTTTGAGAAAAAAAGTGTATTTAATGTGTGTTAAGAATTTTTTAAAAAATTGTAAAAATGTACTTATATACATATACATAAAGGAAGAACATATAACATTAAATTATATATTTTTAATTTTCATAAATCTTAAAATTGATTTTTTTCTTATTGTGCTAAGTAAATTTAATTAAATCATTTAATTGGTCAATTAATTATGAAATACAGTGCTTAATGTAATTTAATTTGTACTCTTTTATTATATAACTGTTGAGCTATATTAGTTGTTACTTAAAGCTAAATTAATAAAAAAAAATATATATATGAAATACATAAAATACATAATGGAGTTAAAAATCTAATTTTTAGAATTGAAATTATTGGTTCTTTGAATAATGACAATTGATAGGTAAATGAATGTATGTACAAACATAATAAATTGTTTTCTTATCTTAAACATACACGGTAGTATATGAATGATAATTAATGGGTAACTAAAATGAGCTTCTATTGGTCCTTTTTTATTCAGAATAATATATTTTTAAAATAAAAAAAATTTTACTTATTACTTTGTATTGGTGTTGGTGCTTATAAAATATGTGTCTACCTTTAGAAATATTATTTTAGTAAAAATATTATATACTTTTATATTATAAAATACAAAGCAATTATTTTTATGATAAAAATAATGCATTTATATTATTTTTCTTTTAAAATCAAACTGTTAGTCCTATTTTAAAATTATAAAAATAAAACCTTAACTCACCAATTATACTATGTTCTAAAATATACATTTTAGATACCTCTTATGAAACAATTTTGTATTCAGTGTATGTAGGTACCAATAATGTTTGCAGTTATTTTAGAAATAGATATATAATAATAAATTATATGGTATTATAAGGTTTAAGAATTTAAATTTTTAATCTAGCAAGTGAATAAGATTCATTTATTAACAAAATTAACAAAATTAAGTAATGTAATGTAAATTTATGTTTTTGGAGATCAGTTTTAACATACATAATACCTATACATTTGGTTTCAATCGAATGTAAAATCTGACTGCAAATAAGTGTTTGGGAAATCGTAAAATGTATACGGAACTAAGCAACTTTGAACACTAATCATAAAATAGGTAGGTCAAAATACGAATATGTGATAGGTACTATAGTAATCTATTTTTCTTCAACTATATAGCTGCAATGCATATTGCTGACTCCTCAATTTTCGATACTCTGGCCAGCGTATAAATACCGGCCAGCCATAACGATGAGGTACCAGTGTCAGTTGAACTACCAAGTATCAACATGAAGTCTTCTTTGGTTATTGCATCTGTCCTCTTGGCCGGCGTGGCTCTGGGAGTTAATGCCTACAGAATCAACAACAACAACAACAACAACAACCAGGATGAAATCCGTAAGTACACATTTAAAAAAAAATGTATTCATAAATCATTTAAAAATCTATATAATATACGAAAAAAAAATAATTTACCGATAATTATTGATTTTAGACAACCAGTGGTTCCGTTTCCAACAAACAGACTCCAGTGATGAATCGTTGAATCTGGGCACGATGCTTTTCGAACAGAAAACCGATGATTCCAAAATCAATAACAACAATGACCAATTAAACAAGCGCATCATGAACAACGACGACAGCTCCGAATCAACATTCAGCAACCATAAGTTCCAGAACCACCAACACGACGAGACCCATTTCAGTTCAAACGAAAACTTAACCCAACGACAACGTCAACAACAACAACAACAGCAGCAGCCACAACAACAACAGTATTTAAGCCAAAACCGGGCTACTAGTGGTCAATCTTCCAACGGACTCACCAAGAAAATCACCGACAAAATCGCCGCTATCCATCAAATCGCCCGTAACATCAAAAACTTCAACGGAGCGTTGGACGTTGCCCGAGATTCCGTCAAGTTGTCCGCAAACAATTTCGTGACGTTCTACAACTCAACCATGAACAACCTCAACAGCGGTGAATTGAAATACATGTACTTGAACCCCGAAACAGACACTGTGGTCGCCCAGTGCCATTTCAACCACTTAGAAACCGTCGGATCGTTCAAATCTGACGTCCAAGACGCCCGATCGGGTTACTATACAATTATCATGAACAACGTGAACAGTAACTTGTCCACCGGATTCTATGACGACAGACACTCCGTGGTCAGGCCAGCAAAATTCCAATACGCCGACGCCAACATCAAGACCCAAGACGGTTCCACAACTCAAGCATTCGACTCAGCTCTGAAAAGATTTTTGGGAGTGTTAGCCACCGCTGTGTCCAAGGAAGTGAAGATGTACACCAGAAATACCGTACTCGTCCAGATTAAAAACGAAATCGTCAAACCAATCGTTTTACAGAACACAGAAAACAACAAGTTATTCGACTTGATGTGGCAGGAAGGCAACGTCGCCATGGAAATGCCCAACATCGGTTACCAGAACTTACAACTAGACTCCGCCACTGAACAATTGTTCAAGTCGATGACTTTCCAGAGTAAATCGCAAAACTCTTACACAACGTCTTATGACTTCGCTCTTAACAACCTGGAATGGACCTCCACTATGACAGTCACTTCAGCTGGTAAGAGAACAGCCATTCCTCTCACAAAATTCAACGTTGAGAAAATCGACATCCAAGCCAACTTCAACAAATTGTCCTTCGATAAACAACAGTCATGTGACGATATCACAGTCAACGTCAATGTACGTGGTCTAAACTACGACTTGGACGACAACCTCCTGTCCGAAGTCGTGTCCGAAATCGATAACAATCTCCAACGTTTCATCCAACACAATTTGGAATCCAACATCCAAACAGCTTTGAAACAAATCTTTTGCAACAATCATTATAACAAATATTAATTTTACTCATTTAATGATTTTATAAATGCTAATTTCGTATACAAATTATAGATCAGAATATGTAATAATAGACAAATATTATTAGTCTTACACAATGTGTATCATATATTTATATATTATATATATGTTTATATATATTCTAATAAATTTAGAACATGATTCGACATAATGACTTGCAAATTTATAAACTATATATAATCAAAAATTAACAAAACTATAGATTTGGCTTTTTCATGATACCAGAAAATATACAATAAACTAAAACAATTAAACAACATATAAGTGTTCATTTATTGGTATTATCGTAAAGTCTTATGTGACTAATGACTAAAATGATAGAAACAATATAATATTTTAAATATATCTTAGTAATATTATATTCTTATTAACGGACAGGTATGATAAATATTTTTTTTAAATTGAATATACAGGTTGGCATAGTAAGTATTAAAGTATGTAACTAGAACATACATATGTGTACAATACTATTAAATATAGAAATATAATATCATGACTCATATAAGGCACATATGAATACATCTAAGGAAGATTGAATATATAAAAAAAGTTTGTTGAGCCTTAGGTTACCGAATCGTAATATGTCATTTTCACATAACTTAAAGTACGTATAATTTTTGAAAGTGTGCGATTGAATAATAATTGTAACAATATAGATTATTTGCACACATAAAAAAACAATTATAAGCAAATTGGAAGTTGCCCCACATCTCCGTCGCTCATAATCGTCATCTATACAGTTCACGTATTAGACGTAGTATGCAATAACATTTTTTTTTTGTATTGGCACTACAAATTAATATTGACATAATATTGTTAATAAATTTAGTGTTGTAGACGTTTTAAAATTTCTTTACTTTAGTCTTATCTTTAGTTTCAATAGCATGTTTGTCATTATTTTACATTTTATTGTTTTAGAATGAAAATTATAATACTTAATTAATATAGACTTACATTAAATCTTATCAATAAATTAAGTTGGTTAGTAGAAACCGTTGAGTACTTTGTTTGTGTTTGTATGTTTTACCTCTGTGATTATTCGATGTTTGAGTAAATCATTTATTTGGTGACTCTATACACTCCAAAAATATGTTCTTGATAATGAACACCACAAAACGGCAGAGTACCTAAAATCCATTCTTTACGATTTCGGCAAAGATTATAATTTCCCAAGTCTAGTTAAAATAAAGTAATCCATTTTTTACTGCCTATTGCCTAATATTTCATAGGAAAAGCTATTTAAAAAAATGTACTTAAAGCCATATAATTAAAACTTAAATCGAATCTCATTTTTCTAATTATAAATGTATAAACTGTGGTTTTCCGGTAAGTCTGAGACGTTTTACAACAATTTACCAGTGGTTAAAATATAACCTATATATTATTATGGTATTCACCCAAATATTAATAATAATACTAACAATTATTATTTTATCGTTTGTTATGGTTGACAAATAAATACAAAAAGTGGGCAAGTGGATACCGCTATTTAATGTACATAAAGAGTCGTGTGGATTACTGTAATGGATGTGTTCAATCTGAATTCTATTGTGGTATAAAATTATTGTAAAAAAAAAACTATTCTGATCGAAGACGGTCTGTCAGCCTATTGCCTATATTATTACTATGACTATATTTTACGGTATTATAATTGCTATTGAAGTGATTTATTTTACGATTAGTAAGACATTAAACTGAAATAATTGTTGCTAAAAACATTTAATTTTGATAAAAATGGAAAATTTAGTTATTATTTAACACATCTATTACGGTGACTCTCATAGCACAATATATAGGTACATAAAAGTAAGTTACTTACCCACTTTTTAATTTTATAATCAAAATGTAAATAGTTTTATTAGCCTTAACAGTATTATAAGAATATTTTAAAGCATTTTGGTCATTAATAACATACAATTTTTTGGGGGTTTTTGTAGGTTTTTTTTCAATCATCTACATAATTCGGTTCATATTAATTGTGAACATAATAATAATTAAAAAATAATAGTTATGTTAAGAAGTACAAAAAACATGAACAGTGTGAGAGACAGGACGTAGTTATGTAATTTGTTTGCATATTTAAATGTTAAATTATATAACACTTATAGAAAAACAAAAGTGTATTCATTTAGTATAAATTATAATTTTATTATTACCTATTTATTATATTCTGGATAATTCAAGACAAGCAATAATTAATTTTCTTATATATTATGAATGCTAAAAAAAATAGTATTGCAGGGTGGCTTTTGGGGGTTCTCATTTAAAAAATAGAAGTTTGTCAGCCACAGAACACTTTTTAAGTAGTACAAACAATAACAGAAATTTGAAAATATGGTCTTCAGGTATACTTAAAAATTCTAAAAATCAGAACTTGAATAAAAGTATTATTAAAAGGAAAAATGAGAGAGTGAGAGTGTTTCAAAAATCACCTTGTACACCCATATTGATGGCACAAAGCCAAGAAAAAAAAATTAATAATTAGTAATTATAATAAGGTTTCTTGGAATTGTATTATTACTATTATTACCCGTTTATTTGTACATGATTTACTCTAATGGCACTTGGAATTTCAAAGACTGTCTGCTTTCCTACACTTGCATTTACTTATTTTGCAAAGCTGAGTATCAGTGCATCGATCATCCGTCAATATTAAGCATTTAATGTTGTTATCGTTATTGAAATTGCTTTAACATATTCAGAATAAAATATATAGGAAACAATAACATAATGTCATTATAATTAATGAAAAATGAATGATTTTTTTTTGCTTTATTATATAATTATTAGTAATACTATTTTAATAGAAAATATTGCACTAAAAATTAATTTATTTGTATTTTTGGTTTCATTTACCCGGTATTGTATACCTTATATTATATTGTTATATGGTACATCAGTACCGGGTGACCAGGTTTAGCTCGGTATCAGGTTTTCAAAAAATCACACATGAATTTTGTGTTTAAAATACAAAAATTGAATTTTTAACATAAATATATTTTTGCGCTTTATACATGATTTTTTGTTTCTTACCGATTTTTCGTAAGGTTCTTGTTGTCAAGGTTACTTATTAATAAAAAGTACTTATGATTTGTAGATTTTCCTTGTAAAGGAAAAATATCGAATAGGTAGCTATGGTTTTTTCTGTTGCTTATTTATGGTTGCAATTCAGCAATTGGTTACAATATTAGGTGTTCTGCATTAAAAATCTGTGTTAGTTTTTTACCAGCAGCAATACACTGAAACCATATTATGGTGTACGTATGTCATTTGAGGCGTATAATTGTAATCTACGACGGATTTGTCGACACAGCGAAGTACATTGACACCATGTCACTATAGACCGCGGTCCACTCAAACTTGTATGATTGATACATATAACTGCGCATTTTAAATTTTGTATTCATTAACTCTCGGGTAAAATCATGGTTATAAATTATAGTACAATTTTGAAAATGTTTTTCTATTTATTTACCCAGATAATAATGTCTCAACAACAATTATTTGATACCACACCTATAATTGGCTTTTATCATAGTTTATAATACAAATCATACATTTATATAGTCATAATTTTTACCTTTTATAAACGTTCATCGCCTTCTATGGCTAGACTTATGATTTTTTTTTTTTAATTTGCTTCGATGAGAAAACGATTCTATTATCGTTTTAATACGAACAGATAACATGATATTTAATAGTATGATCAAACAATGAATTACATGACGATGTATATACTTAAGATTAAGCGAATTCGCATTTAAATTAAATCTTGATTGTGCCCCTTAGAGTTTATTTTTAAAAGTCTCCCAGTATAAACAATATACGAAACATTATGAATATTATGTTATAGATTTCTCGTATCTTTTAAACAATGGTTATACAATACACATCATATAATAACTGGTTCTTAATACACTTAAACAACACACTGTATTTCGCAACAACTGTGTTATCTGAAGAAGCTTCAAAAAATGAATATGAACTTAATTGCATCACCTATATCTGCATTAATAATATATCGCATGGTTTTTTTACACTTTTTACATCGAACACTAAGTGACATCCGAATTTGGTAGATTTAAAAGTTAGGTAATTAATGAAATGTACAGTTTTTCATGGTTTATAGGGCTTAAAAATCAGAATATACTGTATTGTACTTTTCTCCGGTCTCCACTATAGTATAAATGTATATATTATTAAGACATTTTGAAATGTTCAATCCTTAAATTGTCGTATGTATTACGAGGCGTGCCCAAAGAGACCCGTGTGCAGGTTGCACACCTGTAGACGAGGTATACAGGTACGATGCGACTGTACCGCATAATTATTGCTGTCGGGAAATTTGAGCAGCGGCCAACACCGTCCGGTAACTCTCCGCCGGATCAGTAAAGCGTGTCGAAATCGTTTAAACGACCGTACGTGTATGATAATATTACTTCGGATAATGTGAACTGCAACTCAGATCGACCGGCGTCTGTCTATCTCGTCCGTCCGACGGTCGTGCACCATGTTGAACGTGATCTGTTCGAACCGTGACAATTTTACGACTCCGTCGTCCGATTCCCACCGAAGACAACCTATCCGGAAAAAATTACACACACACACACACACACACGCGCGCGTTATAATTACGATATACGTGGATACCACGATTGCAAGCCGCTCGATTTTTCGTTTTCATTTCTGATAATATTACTGCCGGGGCGCATATTGTGCAGCAGCCCATTAAAGTGCCAAGACGACGGTATGATAATAATAATTATCGTGTACGACTTTTATTATTCTTACTATTATTTTACGGTACCTACCAAGCGCGTCTGTCGACTATAAAAATCGTCAACTACGGTTTTTTTTTCCAGGAACATCGAGACGTGGTATTACAATAATAGGCGGGTATATACATTTTTATTTTTTAAACGTCGTTAACGTTTTTATTTCTATATTTTGTCCGTTTTTTACGCTATATACGCCGCGCTTAGAGTTTAGACGATGCGATGGAAATCTATAATAAATCCGTATTTAAGTATAGGTACCGCGTGATGATGGACAAAACGTGTTGGCGTCTTACGTCGTGGACACCCACGCGGTGGCGACTGCAGTACCTACATAACGTATATAAATAATATATAAGCTCTTCAAGACGATGGTCCTATATATTTTGTATTTTTATGTCCCGGTTTGTACCTATACACGTTGATACATGTCATAGTATTAATAATGATATTATCTTACACGGTAAAACTCAATACAATAAATACATTACTGCCAAATAATTTTTATCAACGACTTTCGGACTGCGTCGACATAATTAATAGACAATACCAATAGAGACGTAGTTCTTCAATACAATTGTTTCTATGCCTACCTATTTAGCAAAATTCCTGTTTTTTACAATTAACTCAAATAATGGATTAAAAAAAATGATTAAATATGTTATTGATTTTTTAACAACTTTTATTCGCAGTTCGTAATACATTACAAAACTTTTCAATAAATGCATAAAATATATAACTAACATTATTTTCTTCAGTTTGATAAATGCTGTCATTTCAGTTGGGTTATTTCACATACCATTTGAAGTATGATTATATTATAAAATAATAATATACGTAGAAGGAAGGACCAAAAAAAAAAAAAAAATATTAACAAAAACAAAAAAAATAGGAAATATAAGAATAGTTTGATAATAATTGTTGAGTTTTAAATATATATAAGTAAAAATAAAATGAATTAGGAAAATTATTAAGAAACGTCTAAAATATTATTATCAGTCATAAGATATTTGACGTCATGGATATCACAGTTCAGTAGCCCTTTATGAATGATGCCAAATGTTTTTTGTCTTCGTCGCTTAGACCGTTCCGCAACGTACGTCTCACTGTTAACATATATAAAATTAATCAATATAATGTATACAGGATTCCTTAAAGGTAAACAAAGGTTAGTGATCACAACTATGCTACAGAACACTGTATAGGAATAGTAATGCTTACTGCATATAAACAAGACGCGGTGACAGTAAAATCTAAGGTTTTTAGGAACGATTTCACGATTAATTGTTTTTTTAGAATGGATATAAGCTGGAGAACTCAGTTATGTGATGCCCAACGGGTATAAGTAATTACTACTTAATTATGTTACATTACAATTTGTATACAGCGTTATGTTTCAAATTCAAGTAATACATATACTCACATAATAATTTTAATTAAGAACACAATATGCTATATGCACTGTGAAACATTTTATTTATAATTATTGAACATGAACATAATACTGATTGATAGATAATAGGGACGGGCAGGTGGATATTCCTAGATTTATTTCACCTGAAATGATCAAGGACTTCACCTGCATATAACTATACAAACTGTGGAACTACTAAAAAACGAGGAAACTTATTAAACAGCATTTTGCAACATGGCTTAATGCGTAATACTCTGTACATCTACGAATCAACAAATCACCAACATACTATTAATGTCTAATTAGCTAAACGAACTTCACCTAAGACGAAGAGTGCACCATAGTGTTATAATAGGTATAACAGTATAATTCGTCGATGTCTATACTAGAAATTACAATTTATATTTTATATCTTAAAAATTAAAACGACACAACATCAAAAATACTAGCAAATGTCAAAATCGGTGGAGCGATATAATTTTAAACAATTTGTTAAGTATTTCACGAAAAATAAAACACAAAACACAACAACGAGCACAATAATTATAAATTTACCAAAACTACGACATCGAATTACGAGAGTGACTGCTACTTTGCCTCGGTATATTATCCCTAGTTCGAGACCTTTTGATCACTGTATATATAATTAATTAAACATATTCAGATAAATCGTTGTTCTTTAACGTGTCAAGTCGAAGTATGCCTAGTACTTACGTGATTTTCTATGAGCGTCTTTAGTTCTCTTACGTTCCCTCTGCGTTGTTCTCGTGTTCGCCCCGCCGGCCGTGGCAGTGACCGTCTTCACCAGGCTCTCGATCAGTTCGTCATCGTCGTTGCTCAAATGAACACCGTTGGTATTTCCTGCGCAAGGTCGGCGGTCGATTTTTATTACAATCGTTAATTCATAATATATTAACCCACCCTTCCATATTTATTGCACTATACTAACCCAAAGAATGCCTACACTGATTCCTCCACGAGAACACCCTGTTGTGCGAAGGGTCTTTGTCCAACAGCTGTCTGAGTTCAGTGTCGGCGTCTTGTTTGTCGATTTTTCCGACTTCCGTTATCATCTTGCCACGCGTCTTGTTCCGCTCCCGGTGGCTAGCTTTCTTGTGCAGTTGCTGGATGACACGCTCCCTGGTGGTACGGTATTCCAGCGAAAACTCAGATACGATTCGGCACAACTCGTTGGGCTTGGTGAGTTGGACTTTGTGAAGAGGAATTCCAAGCCAGAGACAAAATTTATTGAAACGGTTCACAACGCGTCGGTGGACTTTCCCAAGCACCACAATACGTTCAGCGCAGTCAGCCAAAAACTCTGACATTCTAAGACATAACACTCGTTATTAGTACATGCAATTTATTATTATTTATATTATACATACTGCTAATAAAATCAAAATTCAATATTCTAAAACTATGGGTACTTAATTCGCATACAATTGCACTAAAAAGAGCAAAAGTATATAATATGTTCAAAAACAAAAAATATACCCTTTAATCTTTTGATTCGTGGATTTGAATTGTGTTTACATTGCAGATTATGATATTTTAATCTTAAATTGGTATGCATTTTAAATAATAATGTAACATAAAAATTATGGTTGGAAATTTCTAAAAGAAACTTCTAATTTCTAGTTTGCTGGGAGTTTTTTAAAATAAATAAGTACGGGCTTTGAAGCTTTAATAGTGTTGATCATAAATCACAGCCACAAAATTAAAATCTCAAATCGTCATTTTTTTTTTATTCATGAACTCTGTTATCATTTAATAATACCTATACAACATTATATAAAAATGAACACTAAAGATTCAGAAAATTAAAAATGATTTAAATGCCTATGCATTAATATGCATTAATAAACACTAAAAACTCGCAACACAAAATAGTTCTATCTCTGATTATCATCAATATTACAATATTATTTTTATATGCATGTTCATGTTTTACAATTATTATTAAAAATTGAATAGGTACTAATTACTCAACGAGTTAGTCGAAAATCCAAATAGTATACATTTTTCAAATCGTTTTTGTGTAAATGTAAGACTATCAATGTATTATGCAGTCATTATTTATTATATCATTATTATTATTATATCATTATTTGCAGTCTATCATGTTGAATAGTAGTGGCGTACTTAGATTTTATTGCAGTCGCCCCGTCGTGTTTACTGATCGTCTTTAAATGGTCGAAAGACGCCCTGCACTCTTGTTCTACTTTTGACAACGTCGCAGCTATTTCCCCGAAATCCACTCTTGACGCACGTGTAATAGCACCGATCTGTGTTTAAAATAGTACAACATATTTTTATGTTTTTATATCATAATATATTGAGTATAATAAATATTAACAATAACTACCTCTGAATATAAATCCGTGGAATCGGGAAACTTATCCATAACGATATGACACAAATGATGAAGAAGAGAATGCTTGTGCACGGTGTCTTTGACTTCTGGTACTTTAGCCAGGTATTCAATTTGAAATCCTTTGACTTCAGTTCCGTTTAAAAATATGCCTACTGACAGCAATGTGCCCAATATCGCCTTGAACGTGCGGTTAGTTTTCAATATTTCAATTCCTTGCATTAAATCCATTAGTGGTTCAGCGATTTCTTTTTCTACATTCTCATAGTCTAATTTGAAAGACCACAGTTTCAACCTAGCTGGAAGTTCAGATATCGATGCTAATGTTAATAGGAACTGTTCAGCGCTGCCCAAAGGCAAATCCGGGCACGCAGACTGTGCCTCTTGAATTTTGTTTCGTTCTTCGTCGCTAGGAAGCATAGTCATAAGTTTCTGTAAAAGAATAAAATTATTATTATTATTATTATTATTATTATTATTATTATTATAGTTATTAACAAATATAAATTATTACGATAAGTGAAGATTTTAATTTCGTGTGCTTTTATAAATTGTCTTTAATTTATTACCTCTATTCCCTCTCGATTTATAACTGTCGGATCCATTTTCAATATGGCCGCTTTGATGGATCGCGGTGGAGGTAGCTTCGTCATGCCTATATTAATTGCATTTGATCGTTTCGGATCCAATACGATTACTTCTTTTGTTTTATTAATTTCTTGTTGTTTCTAAACATATAAATGAAAATAAGAATAGAACATTTTTACAAACACCCACCACCCCTTTTAATCACAAGCATAAAAAAAAGCCTTACCTCCTGGAAAAATTTGTAAAATCCGTGTTTTTTTCAATTTGGTCGCATTAAAAACAAACAAAATATCATTAAAAAGCTTCACAAAGTATTACCAAGCATAAATGCATATTATAATTTTAAGAGAACCATTATAATCATAAACCAAAATCCCATGTGTGTTACATTTGCATTACCCGAAACCATTTGTAAGGCCAAATATTATACAGCATATTTTAATATTCCATAATCGATTATTATAAATATTAATTATTTAGTAAATAAAAAATAATAATTCTGCTGTTTACCTTAGTAATAAAATCTTTTGCACGAGATTCAAATAAATGTTCAAGTTTATGAGTATCAACTTCAACGGGACTTAATTCTTCCCATAACAAGCGTTCGGAGTTCAATTTTACTCTGGCGATAGGGTCATCTCTAACTTCCTGTAATGATGCATACGTCAAATAATTGTTATTATTTTGTTATTAAAATCGATTAATGCATACCTTCCAAAATAGTTTTACAGTCTTTTTGGTTTTCTTTGCAACATGTTGTTGCATGGGTGGTAGCATAGGACAAGGAGGTGGAGGAGGAGGAATACCTCCAAGTAATGAAGAACACGCTAACACATCAGAATCGTCGTCAGAGTGTAAAGTTGAGAAATCTAAGTCACATAACTGAAGAGAACGATCGCACTCGCTTACTAATCTCTCCCATTGTAAATCAGTCTCAGTTTTTCTCGACAGTATATCTATGGCCGAATCCGAGGTTGGACTTTTCACGACTTCATTTTTTGACTGAGATTTAGCAAGTCCTATAAAACAAAACCACACGTATTTAAAAATGCACAACAATTATTAGAAAGAACTTTAATTTAATACCTTCCATTGCTTTTGAAATAATTCCTCTCATATCATCTAAAGGCGGAGCCAATTTGGTAGGTGACTCATCCGGACTTCTTAAGTTTGTCAATTTTTGTGTCAGGTCTTTTACCGAGCTCTCCCTTTGAACTTGCGAGTCTCCATTACAGAAAGACAAGTTAAACGGATGTAACCCATTTTGACCTTCAGAACTTTCACCTAATAAATTAGATTAATTAATACAAAACAAATTTATTTAATTAATCTTACCGTATTGTGTGTTGACAAAAATATAACATACTCATTATACATACCTTGATCGTCAGTACTAGACCAGTCTGGTCGAGCTATATTGTTCTTATACTGCTCCCGGAGCAAGCTCCGTTGTCTTTGAGCACGTTCCCTTCTTCGTTTTAAGCCAGGGGTCACTCCAGCGTCCTCACCTGATGCAAAGCGAAACAAACAAAAACGCTACACAACGACGTGACAAATATTAACGCTTAAAGCTAAGCTGAAGTAAGCAAAATAATTAATTATAGTCTAAGGGGAAATAAATATAGTACTTATATAATAATATTGTTTCTTTAACATTCAAAACCATACTCAAAAAACAAAAATAAATATAAATATTAAATTGGTTAGACAAGTCGAAACAATAATAAAACAAATACTTAAATATTTAATTATCCACGCATACCTGGATGAGGTAATTTGTTCGGTTTTGGTAAAGGTGGATTTATATCGAGCCTTTCCATAAGTAAAGGCATTTGAACACTTGGATTACCGGCTGAGTGTCTTCTAGATTTTCTTCTATCCGCAGAATCTAATGATGAATTCAATGATTTTCTATTTCTTAATGTTTTTCTGAAATATAAACATAAACATAATGTACAATATCCATGTAAATATTTTTTTCCAAAATATCTATTAAAATAAAAATGTTTGTACCGCTTACCTGATTGAATGGTCTACTCTGATTGGAGTAGATTTGTTATCTCCATCTTCGTGTTGCAGAACAACTTCATAAATCTGAAGTTGTCTGAGAAGATCAAGTTCAGTTCCCGGCTTCGACATGTATCTAGAAAAAAAAACAATGTTTATAGTGTGTATCGAGGTATAATAATATGTTTTTTCGTCTTACTTCTGTATAACTTGTTCTATTCCTTGTTCCTCGATAGAATCAACTTGATCGTAATATGTGTCTTGATCCGGTATACCGTTCAATGTCTTATTGATTAACGTCATCGCATACACCAACAGTTCAGTGTCGACCATATCAGGTTCGGTGAGCAGTTTCATAACATTACTCCACAATGGAGTGCCTACGGGAAGAAAAAAATAATAAAATGGACATGCACAATACAAACGATCGACAGAGTGATATAATATATTATATTATACGATTATTACCATTAGATTGGTGCACCGCGAGTACGGCTTGTATGAAAATCAAACAGTTGGATTCAACGTACTCGATGAAGACCAGCAACAGCTTTAGCGCTGTCTTGACGACCAATCGGAATCTGGACGTCAGCAACGAGTACAGCCATTGAATGGTCGGGTTGTCCTCGATAACGCCGTTCATGCCATCCACATACAACATTACCTGGCCGAGAGCTGAGAATAAAACGGTTACACGTTTTTTTTTTTCAATTTACGAAACTTGCCGCGTACGGTTTTACGAAAAATGTACCTCTTAGTATGTAGTTTTGATAATTCTGGTCGACGTCCGATCCCAGCTTAATGAGGCACCGTAGTCCGTCGTTCTGTATGAACTCGTGAACCAAATCCTTATCCTCCTACAACACATATATTAGTATAATATTACAATAACATTTCAACTATTACAGCATTATGTACGTGACGGCACATGGGGCGCCCAAACAATAGCCCGGGCTGTTTACATTGCTAATCACTATAGCATATTATAATATATATATAGTATATAAACACATAGGCAAACAGTTTCTCTAAACCTTGAAACGCTTGTGCCCCTGGCGAACACGCGCACAAAAGAATTATCATTGTTACCGTGTGTTCCCCGAATCGTGGTCTCTCACCTGAAATATGTGCTTGAGCGCGAACAAACACCTCCGGAGCTCTTTGCCTTCGGAGTTCATCAGTTTGTCTGCAAAATAATAATAATGATGATAATAATAATAATAATAATAATAATAATAATAATAATAATAATAATATTAGTAACAAATGAGAAGAAGAAGAAGAAATAAAAGGTCACGATTTTTCGTGGACTATCCGCGGGTACAGGAGCAATTATCACCGCGTATTCGTCATTATTCGTTACACATTTGTATATTGTACCATATAATGCGTTCTATTCATATAAATATTAAAGTATATATATATGTATAGTAAATACGACTTGCGCTATTAACTCGCTTTAAATAACGTCAGTTTCAGACAATATAAGAACCACTCGACCGTACATAACGAATTTCGCCTATTTACAATATTTATGGGATACTTACCGATTATAGTGTGTACTTTGACTGACAACTGCGTGCGCAAGACAATCGAGTTTCTTTTACTGGAACAAAAATAATATAATATATAATATAATTTATGATATTAATAGTAGTAATAATATATGGTTAAAAAATGATAACGAATTATGTTGTTACTCCATGCGAAAACAAAGCATATTATTTTATCATTTTAATTGAACCATCGTTTATAATTTATAGGTAGCCCCCCGTCATATTATATTCTATCGTGTAGTATATATCAGCAAAATAAATGTACCTACTATCTTGAGACAGGAGAAGACTTACAACTATAACTGATAAAAAAAAATGTATGGCATGAGGTGAAGGAGGCCATGATGTCAAACAATTACCGTGGGATACAAAATATTATGTTTTTTGAACAGCCCGAAATCGTGACTCAAATAAAAACCCGATCCGACTTTTAGATCTAAACGTTCGTTGAATTTTTCTCTTGGGTAACTGCAACCTGTGTCTAAGGCGGTAACGCAATAATAGCTCTCATTTATTTAGTTTTCTTTTTTAAACCAAGTGTCCATATCGATCTTAATCTGTCCCTACATATAACGGCATTTTATTTCTTTGTCATGATTAGAATTCTCTGTTAAAACTGTGACAGTTTTTTTTCGTTTAGTTATATATGCCGTATTTGATGGCCGACGGGACATGGTGACACGGTGACTAAATAATAACAGTACAATGAGTTCACAGTACATTAAGTAAATACTTAGTTAAATACTACGAACCAATAATCGTTCTATGAAATAAATAACCAAACGGGTACTTTCTGAGTTATTATTAGTAGGAGTTTTGTTTAACAGTCCTAAAAAATAAATAACTCTTAATCTAAACTAAATATTTAAATACGGTTTAAAAAACCTAAAATAAATATTAAAGAGCCTAAAACTGGTAACTGAAAACAAAATATGACGTGTTATTCTACTGATTATATATTTTATTTGACTTCTGCATGTTATCACGCGAGCTTATTGTATAGTCTTTTCACCAGCTAATGAAATCAATTTACTCTCGAATGGTAATTATTATGTTATGAAAACCGATTCCCATAATGCCTAAAATATAAAACATTCTTTATCCTCAATGTTCAAAAAAATTTCTCACATTATTATTTTACTAGATATGTTATTCGAACAGATAATCACGTAATGTACAAATTATTATACTCGTATTATACGTAAGGACCAACTTATAAATATACCTACACTAAATTAAATATAAAGAATTTCACTTAAATATTTTTTATATGTAACATAATGTTTATTGAGTGTAAAGAAATATTGATTAATATAATTGTGTATTTGTGTGATAATAACAATTAAGGATCAACAAATATTTATGACGCTTATTGGTATACATTTTTTTTCAGTAAAATTCGTGGTAGCTTTACCAACCAAAATGAGACCAAAAAATCCGAGATAACACCTATATATTATTATTATTTATAATTCTCATGTGCAATATCTTCAAATTATATAAATAAAATATTTTATAAGTATGATTGGTATCAAATATTTCTGATTAATATACATATACCCATGTACCTATTATGAATTATTATCCATTATTAAAACCAATATTATATTATGTTACATAGGTAGGCAAATTAATTATTTGACTTTTGGTAGTTACATACAAGGTATTATATAGAAAACTCTTTCTTTCTATATACCACTCTTCCTAGCATAATAATATCAATTTAAAAAAATATATTTTTGTAATAATTCATTTAATATAATTTATTTCTTCAACCTTTGGATAGTATTATAATAGTTATTATGTCGCTCAAAAATAAAAAAATAAAACTTTACTATTGAAAATTTAACATACGATTTTTGGGGAAGAGTCTAAACGGTTATCGAGAAAAATATTTATGGCATGAAAAAAACGTGTTGTTGGCCAATTAAAAAATAAAAAAACTATTATAGTATATAAAATGTATACATAGTATGGTTTAGCCAATAAGAATGATTAAATATTTATCATATTATCATCTAATACAATACAAGCGTGGGAAAATACATAGGTAGGTTCCAACATTGTCGATCCGGTTGAACCAAGTTTAGATAAAAAAAATGTAGTAACTTAATTGATACAAAAGAAATCGCTTAAATATTTGTGAGCTAACTTTCTGAATAGATATTATCAGATAAATTTAAATATGAAATTTGAGTTTCAAGTATCGTTATATTATCACTCATGTAAATATTATTGTATTTACAGAAATGGAAGTACAATTTTGTGTGATAAATATTGTTCATCATTTCATATCTAGTTGGTATTAAAATTTAGTACATCCAACTCCATTCAACATTATTCCTTCTGACAGCTCACTATCTCGAACAAGGAATTTAATCAAAAGTCAAAACCAAAATACGGTGGATGCTCTAAATTTGAGATGATTTCAAATTTCCAATCTGTATAAAATTGACAAGGCTTAACAGTTTCATACGCTGTTAACCTAACTATAGTTTTTTTTTACTCATATCACGTATAAATGTATAATTGAGCAAATTTTCCGAGTGCTTCTACTAAATCAAAATACAAAACCCGTTTAGGCGAATACTACCGATATGGCTCAATCCTAATAAGGTATAATATTATAGGTAGGTACGCCTAATAATAACGTTTAGATAATAATATCGTTTATCCAAACGCATTCGGATATGACTGTCACGATCCAGAGAACATCCTCCGTTATTGATAGCTAGCAGTATTAATATATTTAGGTACCATCGGTGATCACCCCCCGACAATGACGATATGGATCATTTGTCCTATACTATACCTAACCTAGCGGATTATCGAACTGGTATTGAGATATAATAATATTGGCTACCTATTGCCTGGTCCACGATAAAAATGAAATCCCAATCAATATTATATTGTACAAGTGTATACTCACTCGTTTTGAAATCCTTCGAATTCCTCCGGTTGTTCGGAAATGGACGCCTCCATGTCTAGGTAAGATCCGAAATCGCCGTCCTTGTACAGCTGCAGGGCGGCGTCGTCCAACTGAAAACAATAAACGATTCGACGTGAAATATCGTCCGAGTATGACGAACCAAGCACCACCGCACCGGGACGCGTAACGGCGACAAGTCCGCGCGGGTAAAACGGTTACTGTGGACCGCACCAGCGGTAGTGGTATACTCAATATTATTATAATGACATTAAATGCATAGGAGACGGCGTGCTTCCGACGGGATGTGACACGGAACGCGGTGACGACATTATACATGGTAATAATAAGTACCTGCCCGGATTAAAGTCGCCGGCATCACCGGCACACACGACGCACTGGCGCAGCGGCTAGGGCGGGGGCGGTGACACAACCGACGAGGAGGGGCAGCCGCCGGTCACGGTCGATCGGCGTGTGTGACGGCGCGCGGGGCGGGGGAGGATTCTGTGCGCGGTTAATGAGGTCGGGAACCGACTACGATTCGCGACGGTAATTATTAACGGGCCAAAGGTCCGTGAACCTAAACCAGCCGACTACGACGACGGATCTGGATCGCATATTATTTAACATCGGTTTTGTCACCACACCGCGATCTCGACTATATATATTGTATGTACAGGTATAGGTAGGTACTCGATAGTAAGTCCCGATCTTCCGGGGACTCGGGAGCGGGGGAAAAGTAAGGGAGGCTCATTTTTCGTCTTACCGTTCTTACGTACTTCTACCGTTTCCACCCCCGCCCACCGCAACCCACGCCGTGGGAACCGTCCGTCCGTGAAACGACTCTATATTATAATATTACATTGTTTTGTTGTATAACGATGATGGTCATTGTCGTCGCGTGATTGTTGTTGCTTAGAACCTAAGTATTATATCATGTTGTTTATTATATTATGGTGACCGTTTTGGGAACAACGCGGAACGACCGCGAATCGGAAGAAAGAGATGTTGGAGCGGGAGGTGTAGAGACGTCGTGGTGATCGCCCGAAATGGTAATTATTGGTAAAAATCGCGTACCGGAAACGCCGCCTGCGGTTTCACGACTTCCCAACTAAAATTTAAGACCATCTAGTGATGAGGGTATTTCATCATTGTTGATTTTTGACACACAGCAGTACCGCAAGTGAGGGGTGGTTTGAGTTCATCAACTCTAAGCTCTGTGGTCACCTTTTGAGATTTATTTAAATGTTATAGGCAACTTGTTATGCAGAGTGTATCTGTAAGAGTTTAAAATTTGTTTGACCCTCTAGATAAGCCTGTAGCATACTTTTTTTCAAATCGTAGAGATAATTTTGAATAATGTAAATAATTGGCGTTGAACCACTTAAAGATAAAAATCTACCAGTAATAATCAGTGACCACTGAAGCAGTCAATTTTTTAGCGTTACTTTTAAAAAGGAGTGATTTTAAAATTTTAAAATACTATACATTTTGGCTTAAACTTAATATATTGTTGCATGAAATTAATGCAAAATCGTGTATTTACGAGAAAAAGTTTTCCGGGGTCAAAATTAACAATAACACCAGACCCAGGTGAAATTCCAAGCTAAATACTAAATATCGACATATCTCTACAACTCCCATATTATTTATTACAGCAGGAACAAAATTACCACCAAGTTCTGTACTTCCGTAAGACACTATTGAACCGAAGTTATTTATCGTTTATTCCACAAGAATATTGTACTACATTATACTTAGTTACGCTATAGCGTTAATTCATATTTTATAAATTGGTTTTTTCTTTGCTTAGTGTATGCGCTGTATATTGGAACTAGATTAAAATTCTCAGCTTAATACGAATTTCCGGGTATATGAGCCTTTAACTGCAATGACACCCAACTTGAAAAACTCTATAATATAATACAACCGACAATATTACTGCTTGTACAAATACATGTATGTGAGTTTTTGTTACACGCGGAACAGTTTTCGGTACATACAACAGGGTATGTAAAATCGGTTTATAATCGACTCCCCTGCAACCGATTTCAATGTGCACGCCTGCCATAATGTGAATACCTATATTACAATAAACACGACGTTGACCACTGTCAAAATTTGAATAGTATAATCGTGTGAACGACGCGAAGTTTACGTCATAATATAAACCATAGAGACTGACGTCTGTGCAGCGCGCGAATAAGATAATAGTACACGATGTTAAAGGACGAGCGGGACAATCGGTGCTCGCCATCGCACGCGCTCACCCGTTTATATAATAATATATAGGTAGTCCTTATTCGAATGCAATCGCTGATCGCGATCGCCGATAATGCGCGTTTAAAGAATCGGAGTATTATTTTATTAAACACGACGGTCGACAGCAGCCGCGCTGTTTAAATGACCGCCTACCTTATATATTATGATGATCAATGCCTATATTATAATATACGGATAAACTGCGATGTATACAAGGTGATTTTTTAAGCATGCTCACCCTCTAGTGCGCTTGCATTATCATGCATATATTCAAATTCTGATTTTTTTTTAATTTTTGAACACACTCGACGACCATATTTTCAAATACTTGAAATTTTCTGAACCTCTAAGGACGATCCCATATTCCTGTGACAATACAATTTTATGTTTTTCAAAAAGGACCCCCCCCCCTTCAATTTTAATTGTTCAGCAGATTTTTTTTGAGATGTTTGATGAACCTAAATTAAAATTCGAACGAGTAGTTTTGAGTTGTATAATTTTGTGTACTGAGGATAATATATCTACAGGCCAAGTTTAATGATAATTAATGGCTATCGGTATATCAATGTAAATCATTTGTAAAAATAGTCTAAGTATGATAATTACTACTTCTAACATAACATAAAATTTATATTTTATATTTTTCTAAGCCCATTTTTATTATTTTATTAACAGAAATGTATGAGAGATTAACATTTTAATAACTCAGAAACTGTTTTGATTTCGATACATCATTTTCAAGAAAATCATTGCTGAATAATTTTCAGTAAAACAGGGAGATTCTCATTAAAAGAAAACAAAATAAGTAATTGTATCGCCACAGCCCACAGGACACTCCTGAAATAAATAGTACAAGAGATATCAGGAATTTAAAAACACAATATTCGTAGTAAGTATATTTAAAAATCCTAAAAATCAGGGTTTGAATAAATCTACTATTAAATGGAAAAATGAAGCTGATCATGCTTACAAATTCTCCCTGTATATACGAGAGTATATATGGGTACACAATAATATACCAATTTTTTTAAGCATTAAAGTACCGTATTTCTTGAGTTTTTCGCTCCTATGATATTGTAGTTCTGTCAGCTTTATACCATATACGCAAATCGCATAATATAAGTCGTGATGAATCTGATTTAAGTATATGGTATAAAGCTGACAGAACTACAATATCATAGGAGCGAAAAACTCAAGAAATACGGTACTTTAATGCTTAAAAAAATTGGTATATTATAGTGGAATTGCAAACAAATTTCAGACTCTTAATATGCGAGTAGCAAAGTTTCAAACTCTAAGTACGATAACAATAATAACAATGTGAAAAAACATTGATTGATGGTTGCTTGAAATATATTTCATTATAATTCAATAAATTCAATAGCTGAGGGTTATCTCGACTTTGACGTTATATATAATATATAGGTATAGGTGCACGAGCATGTATACAGTCTAATGATTGATGGACGCGCGAGTGGAGAGTGAATTGTATAATAATATACAATCTCAAAGCTATATCGTTCGAACACACTAAAAAGTGTATATGGGTAAGATAACTGGGTAAGTACTACCTACTTTGAACTTACGCGGTTTACTTCAATATTCAGAGAATTTTATATTTCCAAGTCACTTTATATATTAGCATTGCAATATAAAAGAAATATAACGTCTGTTGTACGCGCCGTGCTATAATTTGCGTTCACCGTTATTGCGTTATCGCAGCAAGAATAATAATTTGAAGGTGCAAACTATAAGCCGTTTTTTTTTTTCGAGCCCGACTATCGTCCAAATATACCTTCAAAAGTGTAATATAAATCTCTAAAAATGACATATTATATGTATTATGGTCATTATATACATTTATACATGCGTATGTCATTAAAAAACAATTTGTACTTTAATGCATTTAACCACACCGTATACAAAATTAATGCTGCGGGTAAAAATCATAGAGACAATAACGATCAAGGAAAACATTTGGCAAAGTCTAGCGCCGCCCGCTAAGTACCCATTCGTATACGAACAGAGATTTAAGTACCTATATGCGTGAACCTAAACGTAAAAAATATATACCTATACAATTAACCGCAAAACAGTTACCGGGGAATAAAACTATTACAGAGTATATGCATCTACGTATGCAGGTGTACAGGTGGTCTGCTCGCGGTCGTGTCCTTTCGAAAAACCGTCTGAAGTTTGCGCGAGAGTATAGGCCGCGATAACGTCAATTATTAACAAATACACATCAACAGCCGCACATGTCCTGTACCTACACGCTGGACTTACAATGAATTATAATACTATCGCGACTGTGCAAATCTCGGTGTTATTGTCAGTGAAATGAACTCGAACAGGGAACATAATATTATAATATGAATGTAACACACGTCCGCGAATAAAAGACTGACTACGTGTCTGTATAAAATACTTTAAACATAATTTAAACTCTATTTGAAACTACATATCAAAACAAAATATGTTTGCAGGTAAATTCTTATATTTTATCGTATAACATGCATATTATGATGGACGTTGGCCTTTGTATTTATACTACCTATTGTGATTGTATACAAATTAAGTTTTGAACTCGACTAGCCAAAGTACAAAAGTTTAAATTCTACATTATGTTGTCAACGTGAGTTGTGACGCCAACGCATATATTGTAAACGATCACAACTTCAAACGAATGTGTGTTGTACCATATACAGTGTGTTTCACTTAAAAGGTGACATGAACTATTTCAGCCCGAAGACTTAAGTTAAATGGAAATGTATGATAAAGATAAGACTATAAGGGATACTAAAATACACGTTTTGGTCAATTTTCAAAATAGTTTCCTTTTAGATGTGCG